ATCATATGTAATTTTTTTTTTAATTAATAACTTTTATACAATTTTGTTCACAGCCATTTAGGTCACAATTGTTCACTGTTGATCAAAGATGGATTCCCAGAGGAAAAAGGGAGACAAATAAAATGAAAAATCATCTTCAACTGAAAAACATCTCCAAGCTTACAGATCTCTGTTGGTGAGACTGTACCTTAATCTCCATACTCAGACAATAATAGAGTTCTACCCCACTCATTTGGCTTTCTGATAGTTTTATCTGCAACAGGAATCCTTCAAAGCCAAATGAACGCAGCTTTGCCTTTTACCACACACTGTTAAGTTTGCTTTTGTTTGAGAATATTAAAAATAAAACAGGAAGACAAAGTTTTCCTAGCTATGAAAAAACAGATCGTTAGGAATTATCCTTTAAGATAGGCAGTGGTGGGCATAACACCAGTGTTATAGTAAGATGGTTCTATTTTTGCTTATAAATAAAGTGGCAATGCCCAGCCAGTATGGTTCAGAGGTGGAGCGTTGACCCATGCACCAAGAGGTCACCAGTGTGATTCTTGGTCAGGGCACATGCCCAGGTTGTGGGCCAAATCCCCAGGGGGGGGGGGCATGCAGGAGGCAGCCAATCGATGTTCTCTCTCATCAATGTCTCTCTCTCTCTCTCTCCCTTTCCCTCTCTCTAAAATCAATAAAGAAAAAAATAATAATAAAAACAGTGGCAATAAACTCTTAACTTCTAACAGACAGAAATTACATATTTTCAAAACACAAAGTAGCTTTCCTTCCCCTACGGCATTCACCTCCAAGTTTTCTCATGGATTGAACGAAGATGCCTTCCATGCATATTTCTGAAGGAGGGGTACTAGTATCTGTCATTGGTATTTGACTCTTTAAGACATTTTAACAAATTATTTGTCAGTGTTCAGATTTCATATGTTAAACTATGTCTTGATATTTTACAAAACAAAGATAAGAAAATGCTCTTCTGGCTCAACTTGACATGTTTTGCAATTCTGCATTCAAACATAAAACAGTTCGTTCCTAGTTACTTTGAGTTTTCAGTTTCCAATTAAAAATATGATCAAGGATTTATGTATCATTTATTATTTATTCATACTTATCAAAGAATTTTCCTCCATGATGATTAGTATTTGTCATGTTAAACAGAATACAGGAAGATGATATTCAGACAATAGGATAAAAGTTTGTACTTCCCATGATAGATGGTTGTGATAGTTTCCTAATTTATCCCATTTGACTATGTCTACTTTATGCCGCATAATAACAATAGCTGACATTTATTGAGTGTTTTTCTAAGTTTCAGGCACTTTACATGATTTATATAATTTCTTCTCCACAACAACCATTTGAGATATTATAATTTCCCGCTTATACAAATAAGAGCATAAAGGCTTGCAGAGTTAAAGTGGCCAACCCACAGATGTGCACCTGATAAGAAAGGGTGCTAGTCTGGGGTCTCTGAGGATTGGGGGAGTGATAAATATGTTGATAACAATATTTTAAGCACAGTTAATGAGTTGGTTAAAATAAATTTCTATATAGAATTGCACTATTTGGCTTGTCTTTTAGACAAAAATAATGCTTAACAGAAAGAAAACTCTGAAATCCATAAAATATATTGGAATAAAAATAAATCATCTGTTCAAAACTAAGAACATGGATGACTCAATATGACCAATCCATATTAAATATTAATTATGCCCTTTGCTTTTCTGCATCTGTGTGGGCTTCACAAAGGACAAAAGAAATAATTGCACAGGGATTACATAAAGGTATGTATTCTGTTTGTAAAACTGACTAGACATTGTTAACACGTACTACCAATGCATTTAATATTATGATGACATTATCATTGATATTTACCTTTTAATAAAAATATAAATGATTGTTTACTCCCCAAAGCTAACCTCACTCATGCTAAATTATTTATGTATCCATTTTAATGTGTGTTTTGCATTTGACAGGACAACTCTCCTTAGGACCCTTTTACTGACCCACCTGTCATTATGATGGGGTAAACAATGTCACCTTTCCAGTGCACAATGAATTACAAAGAAGTTGCAAAGTACACCATCCATCATGCTGGCACTAAGCAGGTTTTCGAAGTAGATCTCAGATATCACAAATGCTGTTTAGACTGTTACCAAAAAGCAAAAATTGGAAGCTTATACAAAACAGTGATATGATGAATGGACATGACAGCTCTCCAAAGAAAAGGGGCACTCCTCTTCTACAAATAACCTTGTCAAAAACAAAGTGGTGGGGAGCTTTGCTGGCAGTCCAACTAGAATAATTTAGGAACTTGTTAATGGCTCTGCCTAATAGAAATTCATGCTAACACAATGTACTCAAAATAAAAAATTAGGTATGCCTGAATCAGCAGCAGCAACCTCTCAAGCTTGATTTGAATTAGGAAATGATCTGAGGGGATACAGAAAAATCACCAGTGTTTTATTAATTAGAATATGTGAATATCAATAATACATCTGTCTAAAACATGTACATAAAATATGCAAGTATTCTATGTGCATATAAAATAGTCACCTAAACATTGCTTTGCTTTTGAAAATCATAGTACAAAGAGAGCTTTAAAAATCCATATAAATAACTTATAATATCCTTTATTGAATAGATATTTAAATTAATGTGCACTTACCATAGTAGATTTAAATTATTAATAAAATTCTAAAAAAGTTATTGTCAGTGTCTTCATCTAATTTGCCTGGTTAATTTCTCAAATTATGTTCTTCATATAGAGATGTTTCTTTTATCCATAACTGTACTCTAGTTCCTTTAACACTACTTCCTTTTATTTAGGCCCTAATATTTCAAGCACAGAGTATATTTCTGCATCTACAGCTAACTTTATTTTTCCCATTTACTAGCTACACTTGAAGTCTTTCCCAACACTTCTTTATTAAATGGTAGTTTTATGGTATTTATAAATGTTAGGAGGGTCCCAAATGACTATTCACTTCATGAACACTTAAATAATTCTATGATTTGCCCTAGTCCGTGTGGCTCAGTTGTTTGGAGTATCATCCAGCACACTAAAAGGTCACGAGTTCTATTCCCCGGACACATACCCAGATTGTGGGTTCCATTCCTGGTCAGGGTGTGTACAGGAGACAGTCAATCAATGTTTCTCTTTCCCTCCCTTTCTCTCTCTCTAAAATCAGTAAAATAAACATATGCTCAGGGGAAGGATCAAAATAAATAAATAATTCCATGTAGTAGACCTTGGTTTTCTTTCATAATGAAACAAAGGAAATTTAAACATTGATAACTGATAAGGTAAATGTGTAGAAAGCTCTCAGAGGTCTGGTCACATGGGAACAGAGGAGCCCCACAGATGAAACAGCCATGAGTTCGTTTCCTGGCTAATCCTCATCGCCTCCATCAAGGAAGAATGAATGTTTACCACAGAAAATTGAAAAGCAAATATATGAGGATGATTCCAAGGACCCACTCAAGTCCCTGGGGTTTTTGTTGTTTTGTGTTTTGGACATGCTTTTCTTTAGGGGAGGCAATGGCTATGCTGGACTTCACTCAACTGGGATAAAGAAGAGACTGGACACATGCGGGCTGACGCAGGGGTGGGAGTCTCAGAGAAAATGTGTGGAGTGACGTAGATCTCGACTCAAGACCACAGCTTCTGAATCAAAGAAAGAGGGTTGGCAGCCTCCCTCTATTTTTAATACACAAGTGTGTTTCCATTATTGCCTACCAGAAAGAATATGGATTAATCACATCAAATTATGAGTCCTGTGCTAGAAACACTTCGGACATTTAATATTATAGTAACTCAATTAGTGATGAGGCTTTTCAAGGCGGAGCTTTCATACTCAGTCCTGTTGAAAGCAGGGACAACGCACTGCGGAACACAGTGTGAGGCGCCAGCGACCCGCCTCCTCCCTCCTCAACCCCCGAAGAGAAACAAAGATATATATGGAATAAGCATGCATTTCTGCAAAGTAACTTGAAACGATTTCAAGATTTCATATAATAATTAGAGTTAGTAAGTTAAAGTCTTTAAAACCTGTGCCAATAAATAACAACTGGAAACATAACATTAGTTCATTTGTATTAAATGAGGCAATCTACATTTTTATAATATACTAAATGTGCTCATTAAATTGATACTTTTACATGGAGACAGAACACTTGCTATTTAAGAAAACTAGTGACCACTTATAGATTGTATCTAACTGGTATATTGTCTTGACTACAGCCTGATCTCTGTACTCTTAAGATTTACATGTATTAGTCAATTTAACTCTCACAACCACCTTATGATGTTGGAAATATGACTACCCACATTACAGAGATAAAGAAATAGCCTTAGATGGATAAGTCACAGTGGGTAATTTGGGAGCTGAGATCGAAACTCATCCATGTGGCGGTGGAGGCCATCCATGCACTGAACCACAACCACATGCCAAAACACCACCACACCAAAAAAAAAAAAAAAAAAGCTAACGCAGAAAATAGCAAAGCAATAATCCACAGCTGGCCCACCAGCTCAGATGTTTTCCATTAAGAAAGTAGAAGTACCGTGTCCCAAATCTTAAACGTGTGGATAATCCCATCAATTCCCCACTGTAGTTCTTGTGAGGGTACACAGCACAGTTCCAAAACACACTGCCTCCATGTCCACTCTTTCTGTCTATTCCAATCTATTAAAAGTTGTCTTTCGAAAACAAAGAATGACGTGAGCATGTACTCTCTGAATTAAGCAAAATGTGAATGACTCAGTCACACGTCCGACACTTTTGAATTAAACTCTTCTAACGTGTTTCCACATTCCAAATATGACAAGTCGAGGGTGAGGCGATCCAAATCCTCCCTTTCCTTTCCTGGCACCTCTACATGGAGAACGTTTAATGGTTACTGTAGTGGGGTGCATCTTGCCAGTTAGCTCAATTTAGATGAAAGCTGTTGTTTTCTAATTCTATTTCACTGCAAATGACAGAGACAAACGGTCTTATTACCTCGAGAGTTCCTTTGGCAGAATAGGCCGCGTATGCGTAGAGCAGGTCTTGGCGGCTGCGAGTCCTGGCGTCTTCACTGCAAGGCTGGCCATTGGGATGAAAGCATTGGCCGCTGCTGCTCAGAGTCACAGAGCTGGGAGAAGCGCCCGGCAGGTCAAGCAGCACGGAGTAATTTACAAACTGTACATCTTCTAGGCCCAGCGAGGTCCACTGAGTCCTAATCGTCTTGGAAATCTCGGTGTCATCTTCACCTTTGTACAGCTGTACCAAATGTCTGAAAGAAATGTAAAAGCACATTCTAAAAAACAAAATCTTTGCTCTTTGTAGCTGTGGCTGTTCCATGGATGAACAGTTATTCATTGCTGTGGCTATGGAAGATGGATGAGACAGGACACTGCGCAAGAAACTCCCCGCTAGGTGGAGGTGACGAGCTCGCACAGAAATTGCACTGAAACAAAACGAGTCAGAACTAACAAAGCTCTGAGGGGCTGCGGAGGAGACAGCGATTGATTCCAACCCGTTCTCTTATTAGTTCTGATGCTTCTGAGGACATCGACACAATCCATTTAAAACTCAATTCCAAAACTAGGAGTCACAGTGATTGAGACGGTTCCTTATTACATTACTATGATTTCATATAAAGTGATGCGGTTAATATACAGCTGTTGCTATTTAAAGTGATAGAGACAGAACTCTTTTTGATACAAATTACATGATGCAATGACCACAATGATGTACAATAAAAATCAGTATATCATGGTAAAATAAACCACGGATGGTCAAACCAATATGAAAATGATTTTTGTATGTGCATGCTGAAGTCTATATATTTACTCCTACACCTATTCCATAATCCATAGCGATACTATTTACTTTTGCTTATGAATCATAGAAGCCAGAAAAAAAACTATGAAAAATATGTGTAGAACCAGGAACAGAATCAGACATAGGAAATTAAAACATACTAATCCGCAAAGTTTTGTTTTATTTGGGGATGGAATGCTCAAGGACCATCTTCTTTTTGGCTAAAAACAAAAAATGTATCCTATGAGAATTTTATTGCTATCCAAACTATTACCTAAGTGGATATTCTGATCATTGTTATTTTTTCCTATCACATTATCTTTCTCACCCATACTTGTTACATTTTGGATCCTGTTTATTCAAGAAACCCAAAGTGAAACCCCTCCAAAGAAAATAGAATAAAAATACACACAATGGAAAAAATAAGTACAATGGTACAGGAAGGCATTGCTGGAGACAAAAAGTAAGTCTATTGACACTTAAAAGAAAGAAGCAATAATATGCAAGGTCCTATCTGGTTTCTGTCTTTTTAAGGCTATTTCTATTTGATTTTTAAATTATCTAGTTAGACCAATCATCAGTGCCATGTAAATTTTATGAAAGAGCTGATTGAAGAATTCTACTGTTTTTATTTTTATTCTGAATAAAACTAGTAGTCCGTTTCTTCTTTTTTGTGTGTGAAGGGTGGAGCTTTTGGAGGTATACTCGACAAATGAAATTGTATATGTTTAAAATGTGCAACGTGATTATGTGGTATGCATGTATATTGTAAAATGATTATCACAATCAAATAAACACATCCAGCATCTCACAGAGTTACCTTGGTGTGTATGTTTGTGTGTGTGTTGTGTGTGTTGAGAACACATAAGATCTAATCTCATAACAAATTTCAAGTCTACAATACAGTATGTTAACTCTAGTCACCATGCTGTATATTATATCTTCAGAACTTATTTATCTTATTACTGAAGGCCTGTACCCTCATCATCCCTTTTTCTCTAGCCCCCAGTCCCTAGCAACTAGGATTTTACTCTTCTATAAGTTTGACTTTCTTTTTCTTTTTTTATAGATTTTACATGTAAGTGATACTATGCAGTATCTGTTTTTTGGTCTGGTCTAACACACTATTCACTTATGATAGTGCCCTAAAAATTCATTTATGTTGTTGCAAATGCAATGATCTTTACTAAGGCTGAATAATATTCCATTGTACGCATACATTCTTTATTCATTCTTAGTCTGTGAACACTTAGCTTGATATCATACTTTGGTTAGTAATTCCCATTATTTTGGGTATAATGTTATAATGAACATGGGCAGGCAGATATTTCTTCTTTGTATCAATTTCATTTCCTTTGGATATACACCCAAAAGTGGTATTGCTGAATCATATGGTAGTTCTGTTTTTTGTTTTGTTTTGTTTTTTAAGGACGCTCCATACTATTTTCCGTAAAAGCTGTACCAGTTCACATTTCCATCAACAGTGTACAAAAGCTACCTTTTCTTCACATCTGCACTGGCTTTTATTATCTCTTGCTTAATTGATAATAGACATCCTAACGCATGTGAGGTGATATCTCATTGTGGTTTTGTTTTGTATTTCCTGATGATTAGTGATGTTGAGCATCTTTCATGTATCTGTTGGTCATCTGTGTATCTTCATTGGAGAAATGTCTATTCAGGTTTTGGGGCCATTTTTAATTGGGCTATTTGTGGATTTTTTGCTATTGAATTATATGAGTTCCTTAGATATTTAAGATTAAGCCCGTATCAAATATGCGGTGTGTAAAGATTTTCTCCCGTTGCCTTTTGCTGATTGTTTCTTTTGCTGTACAGAAGTGTTTTACTTGGACGTAGTCCTACTTGTTTATTTTTGTTTTGTTGCCAGTGCTTTTGTTGTCATATCCGAAAAACAATTAGAAGACCAATATCAAGTACTGTTCCCTTCGGTTTTGTTTTCCTTAAAAGTTTTTCAGTTTAGGTCTATAATCCTTTTTAAATTTTTTTTTGTGAACAGCATAAAATAGAGGTCCAATTACATTCTTTTGCATGTACATGACCAATTTTCCCAGTAACTGTGTGTTCTTGGCACCTATGTCAAAATTAACTAACCATATAAACATGGGCTTATTTCTGGGCTCTCTATTGTGTTCCATTTACTCTGTTTCACTGATCATTGAATCTGTTTCACTGATGACATTTAATCAAACAGATCATTGATCTGTTTTTATGTTAATACCACAATTTTTTTTTTATTCCTACAGCTTTAAAAGATAGTTTGAAATCAAGAATTGTGATGCTCACAGCTTTGTTCTTTTTTCTCAAGATGGCTTGGGTTATTCAAGGTCTTTGTGGTTCCATACCAAGTTTAGGATTGTTTGTTCTCTTTTTATAAAATTGTGTGTTTAAATTTTTGTAAGAATTCCATTAAATCTGTAGATTACTTTGTATAGTATGGACATTTTAACAATATGAATTCTTTTAATCTAAAATAGGAGATATTTTTTATTTATTGGTATCTATTTCAATTTTTCCATCAATGTTTATAGTTTTCAATGCACAGGTCTTTCATTTGCTTGGTTAAATTTATATGTATTTTATTATTTTTAGTGTTATTCTAAATGGGATTTCTTTACAAATTTTTAGTATAGTTTGTTGCTTGTAGAAACATAACTCATTTTTTAAATATGTTTTATTGAATTTTTTTAGAGAGAGAGGAAGGGTGACACAGATAGAAACATTGCTGTGAAAGAGGCACATCTATCGGTTGCCTCCTGCAAGCCCCCTACTCGGGATCAAGCATGTACCCTCACAGTGAATCAACTGGGACCTCTCAGTCCATGGGACAACGCTCAATCCGCTGAGCCACACCAGCCGGGCACAACTAATTTTTTATATTGATTTTGTATCTTGCAACTTTACTAAATTCATTTACTAGTTTTAATGTTTTTTAAATTGAAGTTTTAAGGTATCCAGTATATAAGATCATGTCATGTGCAAACACAGACAATTTTGCTTCTTCTTTCCTCTATGGATCACTTTTATTTCTTTTTCTTGCCTAATTGCTCTGGCTAGAACATCTGGTAATATGTAGATAGAAGTTCAGAGAGAATGGGCATCCTTGTCTTGTTCCTGATCTTAGATAAAAGCTTTTAGCTCTTTGCTGTTAAGTATGATGTGAGCTGTGGGCTTGTAATATATGGTATTAATTTATTATTTATATTTATTTTGTATTTAATTTGTTGAGAGTTTTTATCACGAAGGATGTTGGATTTTGTCATATGTTTTTCTTCATCTTTTGAGATGACTATATAATTTTTACACTTCATTGTGTTCATGTAGTATATAAAGCTTATTGATTTGCATATTTTAACCATCCTTGTATCCAGGGATAAACCACAATTAATCATAATGTATGATCCTTTTTAACGTGTTGAATTCTGTTTGTTAGTATTTCCATTGAAGATACTTACATCTAGGTTCATCAGGAATACTGGCCTCTAATTTTCCTTTCTTGTTGAGTTCTTATCTGACTTTGGTGTCAGGGTAATGCAAGTCTCATAAAACTATTTTCAATTTGTTTTTTTTTAATTTTTGAGAAGAATTGGCATTAATTGCCCTTTAAATGTTTGATAGAATTCACCAGTAAAAGCAATCTGGACCTGGATTTTCTTTGTTGGGAATGATTTTATTACTGATTCAATCTTCTTTCTAGCTGTAGGTCTCTTCGGATTTTCTGTTTCCTCATGATTCACCAATGGTAGGTTGTATGTTTTTCAAAATGTATCCACTTCTTCTAGGTTGTCCATTTTGTAGGAATATAATTGTTCACAGCAGTCTCTTACATTCCTTGTTATTTTTGTCGTGTTTGTTGTAACGTCTTGCTTTATTTCGGATGTAGAGTCTCCTCTCTTTTTTCTTAATCTGTCTAAAGGCTTGTCAATTTTGTTTATCTTTCTAAAGAGGAGCTCTTAGTTTCAGTGACCTTTTCTATTGTTTTTCTAGTCTCTATTTTATTTATTTCTGCACTGATACTTATTTCCTTACTTCTGCTAATTTTGGGCTTAATTTATTCTTATTTTTCTAGTTCCTTGAGGTATAAAATTAGGTTTCTTATTTGAGACATTTTATTGTTAATGTATGCATTTATTTTTATAAACTTCCATTTAAAACTATTTTTGCTGCATCCCCTACATTTTGATATGTTCTGCTTCCATTTTTATTTTTCTCAAGGTATTTTTTCAGTTTCCATGGCACACTGGTTTTTCAGCAGTATGTTGTTGAATTTCTACCTGTCGTTACTTTTCCAGCTTTCTTTGTGCTATCAGTTTCTAGTTTCAAAACACTGTAGTCAGCAAATATGTTTGATATGATCTAAAAATTCTTATATTTGTTAAGACTTGTTTTGTGACCTAACATACAATCTATCCTAGAGAGGTTCTGCGTATGCTTGGGGAAAATGTGCTTGCT